AAGACTTCAAATCTTAATTTAGGATCTAAGATAAATCATCTTACTTTCAGATTGAAAAGTATAATAATTTAAAGAAATATAAAGTATGAAAAGTTGGAGCTGCAGTGTTCACAACAACAGCTAAATGTAACATGTACTATACATGTATGTTCTGTATATGTATACAGAGTGAGGACTCACTGGTCACCTAAAGATAGTGGTAACTTCTCTTATTTGGAGTAGCGAAAACTGTATGTTTCAACCAATTATTCATTACTTTGAGCTAATTGAGCTCTCAGTCATGGTGCATATTCAGGTTCCGTCAACTTATAGCAGGTAGTTTTTTTAAAAGACAATTGTTAACTGGAATTAATCCAAAATTTGCATATTTAAGCCAACTACAAACAAGTTGGAAAAGGAGAGTGTGAATAATTCACCTACTCTCTACTAGTCTCAACTAGCTCTGGTAAAGTCAACGTATCTGGTTCAACCTTTGTTACATGTCTCGTCCCCCATGTTTTCTTTCACTCTTCAATATTAACCTTTTATTGCAGACAAAATGCTAAAAGGACAAATACACTGGTACTTATTCTCTATTTTTGTGGACATTAGTCATTTAACCTTTATCCAGTTACTTTAAAGCCAACTAAACATGTTTGCAGTTTTTGGGAACACATTGTATTCAAGAGCATGTAGTTCCACCTATTCACATTAATTCAGTGCAAAAATAGCCATGTACTTGTGGCCAAGGAGCGGCTCCATAAGAAGGGGTGGAAGACGACATTTTTCAAGGGCAGCTGGACAGATGTTATTAAAGGAGGGGCTTGTGATACTCAGTTCATTCATCAAAGTCTTAAACTTGAACCTAGTATTCAAGGTCACAAGCCTGCCGTTCTTCTTCACTACTATTATCTCCAACATTAAAGCGCTGCTGTTTCAGTATTTATGAACTGCTGTTGTGTACCATGATCTTTATGATCTTTGCCATGCAGCTGACCCAGTAATCACTCTACTGTTCCCCAGTCACCACAACGCAAAGCTGAAAATGGGATCCAATTTCTGAAACTGCTGTGTAATAACAACAAAGTGATAAAATTTTAATGGAATTCTGCACTGTGCAATCCATGCAACTCAGATCACCACCGCCCACTCTTCCAAGTACAAGCAAAAATAAATCTACCTATAATATTAGCCAAAAGAATCACACATGAAACAACATGACACCAAGCACAATGACAAACAGCCAAATGAAGGTTATATTGCAAACTGCGCAAACAAAGTTGTAACTTTAGTGTATGTTCCTGTTTTTAGGTCGTCATAAAAACAATGTGTTCAACAGTTTCTGCAAAGACGCTCACTCAACTGGAAAATTCCAAATCTATTGAATGAAATTGGTTGTCACAGCAGCTCAGTGTAACGCAGATTGCTTTTTGCTATGACCTCACAGACAACAATTTTGCCTTGGCAGTCATGGTAACACAACGTTTCCCCCTTAAGTGTATTACTCTAGTGAGGTGGAGTTAGAGAGATTTTCAGATTAACTAAGTAAAAGCAGAAGTCACAGAGGCATTTTAACCTCGCCCCACCCACTCCAATACAGAAGGATGCATTCAGTAAAATGTCCCAGAAGTACAAAGCACTAACATTTTACAAAACCAAAAACACAACACTGTAGCAGATAGCTACATAATAGATGAACAGTATTGTCGGCACTAAAATGTTTTATTTATGTCCCACATTTAACTATCCTTTTATATTCATGTTTGTAGTAATTTGTAGGCAAGAGGATGAAGCTATATGACTTTGGTGAGCCTCTATTCTTCCTCTAGTGCAACCGTGAGATTTGAGTGAAATGTCTCCACAATTATAACACAGACAGTATTTCCAAGGTGCAGACATTGATATCCCCTTTATGGAGCCACCGTTGTTTATTGATAAAGAGGTTAACCTTGAAGAGAACGACAGCTTCATGCTCTGAGTGCATGAACAAAGATACTTTAATTAGTTTAATTCATTTCATTTTAATTTACAGAAAGGGAAATTAATCGTCTCTTGAACTCTGGGTTCTATATAATCAATCTCTGTCTTCTAGATTCTGTCCATTATTTAGTTTCCTAAGCTGACCTTTTCATTTTCAAGCTCATTGGCACATGATCTTTAACAACTTATACTCTGCCACCTGAGGCCCAGTTTAATTTCAAAAGACACATTCTCATTTGGAGACTCACCAGAAAACTGCCTAAATCCAGAAATATAAACAAATCTAATTTTCAGCTTCCCTTACTGCATGACCATTTCAGTAACTGTGTACATACACAGCATTAAAGATTGTTGAGTAGACAAGTGCCCTAATAAGTAAAAGCAGGAAAAAAATATTATTATATCTTATATATTTGTTGTTATCTGGATGGATCTCTTTGATTAAATCTTTGTTGTGCTGCAGTTGCTCAGACTCAATCTATTCCTGTTGTGAGTTCATTGGATGTTGTCATCAGCTAAATGCCAGCATCAGATCAGACTGATTACCAGACTAATAAATGAGTCTCACACAATATTGGCTGTCATTATTTGGTCATTTGTGTTGATACATTCAAAACAGCATATCTTCTCTGTCTGCTCTGAAGAATAAATATCTAATTTCTAATAGATGTGTTTCTGGTGTGGTATGTATACATGCATGTGTGGGAAAGGACTGAAATTCTGTTTCTGTTTTATTACATTTGTTCAATTGCTAAGAGTCATGAAGAGAAACATCAAGAGCCAGTTAGAGTTCAACTGTGTAGGTCTGTGAAAAGCCATGTGGCTCTAAATATGCAGCTGTGTTCCTGCTGCTGTCCACTAACACATTAGGTTGGTTTTACTTTGTGTGGGGCTACATGTCAAAATGTCAGCATTAGACCCGGCAAATAAATTACCAGCAACCTCCCATACATTATTGGACGCAGTGTCACTGTGTGTGTGAGAGTGTGTGT